AGGACACGTAATGGGGTAAACAAACGCATGTTAACTGGCTTCTTATGTGGAAGAAGATATATCTAAGTGAAAAAGACAGACTAACTGCCCCTTTTGTACAACCTTCAGTCAGCAGGGTATTAAGTACCATAAATAGCTACGATTTGTACTTATTTGCATCTTACCAATTTCTTTAAATGTATTCTTCAGGAGCTGCTCTTCATTCAAGCCATAATAATTTCCCTTTTATATGGCATCAATTCATTTCTCCAGGCTGTAAAGTCTTTGTGAGACTTTGCATTAGAGAAAGAATTTAACAGTCAGATCTCCTCAAATCCCAAATTAGTCATGCCAAGAAACAGTACTTCTCGAGTGTCTGACAACCGTTAGTGTGAATGCTGACTAAACTGTAAATAGCTTCAGTGGGAAGCTTTAATGAAAAAGCTTGAAAGAAATTGATTTACCTCAAATATACAACTGATTAGGAGATCCAACAATCATTGCTTATGCAAAACTTCAGTTGTGGGCTATTAAGAGCATATAAACCATTTCTTCCACAACAACTGCTTGTCAGGCAAAGTTGCAAATACTTTTTATCCTTCAGCTGATAAGCAAATGTGTTGCAATGCAACAAAGGGTTCATCTCATCCATCACTAAAACCTGCTCTCAGCTTGGAATGGAAAAAACTTGAAATTTGTAAGTCAGGTTCACTACCCTGTGAAGCAAGTGAAAAGACTGATTCCTTAGATAGCTGATTAAGGCTCTTTTTGCTCTAACATACTTTATGTCAGGAAACTAAAAATACTTTATATATTTGGATCACAAAAGGATTTTTTAGATATCGTATTCGATTGAGAATGGAGGCAATAATTGATAGATATCCACTAGTTTTGGCAACATTTTGTGTACCATGTGTTGTTTGAAACCATATATTGGTTTCATTTATATGACTGCTTTCAAGACAACAAAAAGGAATAAGCCAGAAGATCATGATTATTATCCCAGGCACCCAGAGAAGCTGTGGAATCTCCATCATCTGCATACTCAAAACTCAATTGGACAAGTCCCTGAGCAACCTGATTTAGTTGGAAAGTTAGCAGCATAGGTGCCTTCCCACCTAAATGGTTCTAAGATGACTCTTTCCTGGAGCATACTGGGTGTTCCTGTTGGTTTTCTTGTTTTAGGAGAAAAAACAGGACATAAAAATCCAAAGAACAGACTATAAAAGCAGTAGAGGAGATTTAAAGGAGACTTCATAAGAAAAGGGAGTTCATAATCAGGTGTTTTGGAAGCACCATGGCCGTGACAAAAGAATCTAATCTACGTTTATTTTGAAAAAAGCTGTGGTGGTTTCAGAAATTATCATTGCTTGATTTATCTGTTGTTCCTCCTCAGTGAGAACTTATCCCCTCCTCAAAAGCAGAGACTGCAGAACTCAACAGGACTAGTGCTGCTCTGAACCTCAGAGAGCATTTTTCCTAATGTGACCAGAAGTTGGAACTATAACAGCATCAATAATATGATGAGGCTGTAGTTCAGTTGACTTTCAAAAGAATGCCAGCTGCTACTGTATGCCAACCACTAAGCACAGGAAAACGATGTTCCTCTCACCCAACAAGTCACTTAGTTTGAAGCTGCAGAGCCTGGATCAGTACAAAAGCAGCAGTGAGGCAATGATGTTTTTTCTTATTCTGTTGTGAAACACATTTTGAGGATTTTCATTTCTCATCCAGAATGAGCATAAAACCACTGGAAGTGAGAGCAGAAGCCATGCCCACAATAACAAAAAGACACTCACTTTCAAGAGAAACTGTTCCTTCTCCTTTTGGATTTGCTGTTCCATTTCTTCATAGAGATGTTGAATTTCTTCATCATAAGCAGCAATTTTCCTAACAAGAGACAGAAGTTTACTAAGTGGGTCTTTGTAGCATTACTTCAAGTCATGACTCACATTACAAGCTAAGCCCCAAATTTCTGAATTAACACAAGACTCCAGAGATTGTTCTAGGCTTAAGAAAATAGGAATTTTTGTGCAGCAAAGGTCACAGATAAAATTTTTTTTTTTTTTTGTCATGGAAGGAAAGCTTCAACAGCTCAAAGGCTAATAAAGCTACATATCTGATGTTTCCACATAAAGCAGCTGTTCATTATGCAATTTTAATGACCACTAAATCTTAGGTTTAAGGAACAGAGCTTCCTAGTGAAGCTAGCTAGCTAAGAATACCAAAGCCTAAGTTTCCCAGTTAAAAGTATTTTCACTGCAACTTCATTTTTTTACTCTGGAACTGCATTGTTCACCATTCAAGAGCATTGAATGAGGTACTTCTATCATGTCTAAGATGTTTTAGCTAGAACGGAATTCTTGAAAGTCTTTCTTGAAAGCTGCCTTACTGCCTCTTTAACAGCTTTACTGAAAGAAATTTGAAAAGCCCAGCTGAGGAACAGAAATAAATAAGCTGTGCACAGGTGTATCCGACTGTAGAAAAAAAGCACAACTTACAAAGCTCACTTTTTCCAATAGAATATTGCAATTAATATCACTGCACTTTGATACATGAAGGATTACATTGAGCATGTGCTTTAGTTTGGGCCAAAAAAATTTAACTGTTGAAAGAGAACAAGACGGCTGCTTTGTTCTGCTTCTATTCTATTCTATTCTATTTTCATTAATCCAGAAACTTAAAAGCAAAAATCACTTTGCATCAAACTCAGGGGACATCCTAGAAAGATTTTTAATAGAGAGTAATAGGGCCTTTATATGACACTACTCTATATTCCCCCACATTCTTCTTGCTAGAGCTGTTCCTTGAGCAATCTGCAGAATGCATCTTGTACAAATAAAGTACATAATCTCCTAGGGCATTCAAATCAATAAGAGCAAGACAAGGAATATACAGTGGAAAAAAAAGCCATTGATTTTTTTGTATTGTATTTTTTTGTACCTAATGCTCTTCATATTCTATGTTTTCACATATTAAAGGTCTGATTCTCTTCTCAGTTAAAGCCAAACAAATTGGAAAGAAACTTCAAAAAATTTACCTAAGCTAAGAGGAGTGAGAAACACCAGAAACAGGTCTTTTTTCCCCCCTTTCAAACATCAGAACACTTGACATTGCCAGCTTGAATTTTCAGTCACAGGTCAAAAATGGCGGGGGGGGGGGGGGGAGAGGCATTTTCTCAGGATTTATAGCAGCAATAAACAAATATCAAGCAACACCAATTTTAGGAAAATTATTGCTGTCACTTAGATTTTTGTGAATTCTGATTAGGTGAAAAAAGCAGCCAGGGTGAAAAAAGCAGCCAGAGAAGGGTCTCTTCATGTGACTGCAATGCTTCAAATAGAAAGTGCCAGAAAATCCAGAAGCCCCTTTTGCTGCCTTACTCCCCTTATAGTGTAAAGTCAGGTCATATTCTGATCTCAAATTTTATTTTCTTAAAACTGAGAAAATCCTTCATAAGAAATTAGCACTCATCAACAGAATAAAATCACACAAATCCATAAAATATTAACAATTATTTAGAAAGGTATGGTAGAGATTCTAAGCTCATATTTAAAAATACTGTATTCATGCAGTATAATGTCACTTTGATCATGGCTAGATTGACTATGTACTGAAAAACCCTGTAATTTTGCACAGGCACAGCAGTCAGTATTTCCATGGGAATCATAAAGATTTTCTCTGCGTCTGTGACAGGGAGAATAACTTTAGTCCTGTATTATTAAGCTGCTGATTTAGATATTTCTTTCCTCTTATGCGTTTGGAAGCAAAGGATATGGCAGCACCATCAAGACTACATCCAGGAGGTACCTCTGGATGCAGGAATCTTTTTAGTTGGTCTGGCAACTGACACATGACATTTTCTCAGGTGGAATACTCCTCAAGCATTCCATTCATGGCTTACTATTCTTAACTCTGATCAAATTAAACAGAAAGATAAAATAATATCCTGTTATAATCGAAAGTGTTACACAATTATAAGTAACATAACTAACAAGCAGCAGAAAAAATAATCCAATACATTAGCTGGCAGATATCCCCCACATGTGGTCAGAGGAAAATAAAGCCATAAGGGCAGATCATTGTTACATGAAAAATGCAAAATGTTTTGATTAAAATCTCTATTCCCTGGGATCATACCATCCAGTTGCACTCAATACATAATTGTAAAATTTCAGCAATATTTGATAATTTGATCTTTCTCTTTCCAGTAATGCTGTGGAATAAACAGAGATGGAGACAAAAGGGAGACAGTGCTGTTGTTGAGCACGTTAACCAAAATGGAATGTAACGTGAGTTCACTAAATTCAGATGATGAGTTCAGGATTAACATAGTCACAGGGGTTTAATTTCTGCCCATTCATGTAGCTTCACGTAGCTGCACTGTGAACTGTTTGGGTTTCACAATTGCTGTTCATGCAGTTTGTTGTAATGGTTCTTCTTTCCCCTTACAAAAATAGTGATTTGCGCACTTTGTGCACTAATCTTCTGAGATGCTGATTCTCCTCTTCTTCCACCAAAGGTGGACTCTGACACTGTCCCATGCTAAGCCCAATGAGAAGTCAGTTCATCCTTCCCTTCTTTTTTACCCTTTTGTTTATCTTCTCTGTTTAGAACTCTGTTGTTTGAAACACAGTCCACTTTTTTACTAGGTTTGTCTTTCAAAAGCACAGCAAAGCACAGCAGCAGACAGAGCTAATGGCAGTTGAAGATTTTACCTGCTATCAGAAGAAAATGGTCTCTTTCTCATCTGTTCTAACCTTACTTCCTATTAGTCATATTAAATGCCCCTTGGTTCTACTGCTAGGGATTTGAAGAAAAAGTTCCTCATTCAGCCTAGTCAGCGGTCTCATGGTTTGTAAAGTTCTACCATATCCCACTCCAGCCTTTACCTCCTCACTCAAGAGATCATACCTTTTAAAAATAGCTCTCTCAGAATAGCTGTTCCATTCCTTTAACCACTCTTTCTTCATTCCACTAAATTCTTCTTGTGTTGCAGAGACCAGAACTTCACTCACTCAAGATGTGGGTGCACCAAGAGTCTATGTGGTGGCAAAAACATGCTTTGTCATGTTCTCAGTAACCTTTCTGATCATGCATAGCATTTTACTGGATTTTTTTGGGTGCCACTGCACCCTGAACTGATGATTTCAGTAAGCTCTCTGCAATGACCCCAAGGGCTTTCTCTGGAGTTGTAACTGCCCATTCCAAGCTCAGCATCATGTAAGCATGACTTGAATTATTTTAGCTTCCTTACATTTATCTACAATGAAGTACTAGTCTGCACAGTCCCCCATGTGTGGTGTATCTGCATGTGTGTGTATTGAGAATATACGTTCAGCCTCACTACTGGCTGGACCTACAAATGGGAACAGCAGCAGCATACTGTATTAGTGTAGTGAAACACTGGAACGGGTTGCCCAGAAAGGTAGTGGAGGCCCCATCCCTGGAAACATTCAAGACCAGGTTGGACGGGGCTCTGAGCAGCCTGATCTAGTTAGAGGTGTCCCTCCTCACTGCAGGGGGGTTGGACTACATGACCTCTAGGGGTTCCTTCCAACCCAAAACATTCTATGATTCTATGATCTATTGAACTAGGACAGGAGGAAACGCCTGGGCCTCTTAGACCACAGGTCTAAGTGCTAAGAAGCATGTGGGTATTAAAAAAAAATTTTCCCCGCTCTATATGGTTATGTCTTGAGCTTTGCTGTTATTTATACATAGTTTAAAATAAAAGAGGTTATTCATTCCCACTGTTAGCAAAGACAATATTACTCCTATGACAATTCTGACTCCTTCCAGCTATTGATTACAAACAAAACAACAATCTATGTACTGAAATTAGAGGTGTTACCAGGAGCAACAGAAAGAAGAAATTAGCTAAAACCTGGTATTACTACAAAGGCATAAAAATTCAATGCATTAAGGTAGAGATTTTATGTCAGCCAGAGAAGTCAGGAAATGCTGATGTATTTTCCATGCAGCTCTGTGCTGACCACAGCTATTAAACAGAAATTTATTCATTCATTCCCCAAAAAACACTGACAAGAGTCTGTCAAAAAAAAACCCAAACCCCACAAAACAACCCCCCCACACACACATGGTTGTTAATAATATCTAGTCTAAAACAGACAGCACAATTATCTTTATGCTGTTTCCAAGTGACAAGCTGTCTGAAGGCTAAAACTACACTTGCAGACTTAGATGAAAATGCTGCTATCAATATAAAAGAACTGTCTTTAATCACCATACATTTTTAGGTTTTTTCTTTCTTCAGAAGCCTTGTCACATTCTCAGAATATCGAGGAGAGTGCTGAACAAATGAAGTAAATATTCAACAATATATTTGCCTTTATTACTCAATCTGTAAGAATCTCAGATTCAAAGTGACACTTTGTAATAAAAATACAGGGGAACTTCAACTATAACCATAATTTTGCAACAAAAGTTTTTCCCTCTACATAGCTATATATTAAAGAATGATCTGTTAATTTTTATTCTTATATGTTCATTTTTATATATGCATTTTATATATTTGTGTATACACACACATTATATATGTTTTTAAATATAAAGCCAATATATATTGTTAACTATATTTCATATGTTTGTTTTATACATATATTTGTTAACTTACATTTTCAGGGGTATCACTGCTTTGTGCTGCTTTAACATCTTAAACGTCTCATTTCTCTGACCGGTTAATCCAGACTTACAGCTTTTCTGCACACAATGTTTGCAAGCACACAGACAGTTTACCAGATTTACTGCTAAATCTGACTGTCCCCTGGAATCAACCTGATTAACTAGAAGTGAATTGTTTAATATTCTCTTAAAACTGCAATGCCATAATAGACATCTGCAAAAGAATCTCAGTCAACATATCTGTTAGCTAGAAGAGAAAAGCTACTTTCAGCTAGTTCTGCATTATAAATAATTTTGCTGGTATTCTTCATAACTAATAAAATTTTACATTATGGGAACTCTTGTGATTATAGTCATAGAATCATAGAATCGTCTAGGTTGGAAAAGACCTTTAAGATCATCAAGTCCAACCGTTAACCTACACTGCCATCCCACCTCTAAACCATGTCCCTAAGCACCTCATCTATCCTTCTTTTAAATACCTCCAGGGATGGAGACTCGACCACTTCCCTGGGCAGCCCGTTCCAGTGCCTGACAACCCTTTCTGTGAAGAAATTTTTCCTAATGTCTAACCTAAACCTGCCCTGTCGTAACTTCAGACCATTTCCCCTTCTCTTATCGTCTGTTACCAGGGAGAAGAGGCTGACCCCCACCTCGCTACAGCCTCCTTTCAGGCAGTTGTAGAGGGCGATAAGGTCTCCCCTCAGCCTGCTTTCCTCCAGACTAAACAACCCCAGGTCCCTCAGCTGCTTCTCACAAGACTTGTGCTCCAGAGCCCTTCACCTGCTTTGTTGCCCTTCTCCAGACACAGTCCAGTGCCTCAATGTCCTTCTTGTAGTGAGGGGCTCAAAACTGAATACAGTATTCAAGGTGAGGCCTCACCAGCACCAAGCACAGGGGCATAATCACTTCCCTACTCCTGATGGACACACTATTCCTGATACAGGCCAGGATGCCATTGGCCTTCTTGGCCACCTGGGCACACCGCTGGTTCACATTCAGCCGGCTCTCAACCAGTACCCCCAGGTCTTTTTCTGCCAGGCAGCCTTCCAGCCACTCTTCCCCAAGCCTGTAGCATTGCATGGGGCTGTTGTGACCCAAGTGCAGGCCCCGGCACTGCGCCTTGTTGAACCTCAGCCCATCGATCCAGCCTGTCCAGATCCCTTTGCAGAGCCCTCCTCCCCTCAAGCAGATTGACACTCCCACCCAGTTTGGTGTCATCTGCAAACTTACTGAGGGTACACTCAATCCCCTCGTCCAGGTTATTGATAAAGATATTAAACAGAACTGGCCCTAGAACTGAGCCCTGGGGAACACCACCATGTAGATAACACCCACAGCCTTTCCCTCATCCACTAGGTGGGTCACCTGGTCATAGAAGGAGATCAGGCTGATCAAGCAGGACCTGCCTTTCATAAATCCATGCTGGCTGGGCCTGATCCTCTGGTTGTCCTGCACATGCCTGGTGAGCGCACTCACAATTAACCGCTCCATAATCTTCCCCGGTACTGAGGTCAGGATGACAGGTCTGTAGTCATCAGTTCTTCACTGAAATACCTTGTTTATTTCAAAGGTTCAAATAGTAGGTAAGATAGATAGTTTTAAAACTACATAAACAGTCCAACAAAGTACTAACTTTTTTAGAGCACATTCCAACTTGTTCTTTTCATTATCTGCTTCTTGGAGCTGGGAAAAAATTCTGACCAGGAACTCTTCAAAATGACAGGTCTGTAGTCATCAGTTCTTCACTGAAATACCTTGTTTATTTCAAAGGTTCAAATAGTAGGTAAGATAGATAGTTTTAAAACTACATAAACAGTCCAACAAAGTACTAACTTTTTTAGAGCACATTCCAACTTGTTCTTTTCATTATCTGCTTCTTGGAGCTGGGAAAAAATTCTGACCAGGAACTCTTCAAAACTGGAAAGTAAATGAGGTTCATCTTTTCTCAGCTGCAACCAAAGTTGCTTCACATCACTCTCACTGAAAGAAGAGATCATAAAGGATTCATTAAGAGAGAACATTTCTCAGGCTGCAATAAATGTTCACAGCATCCTAGTGGATGGAGGCTTCAGGGTATCACTAGTCAGAACACAAGGCTTATTAAAAACAAGGGCTGCTTAAGCAGTGCCAGAGTTTAGAAGTATGAGGTGGGTGGGAAATGATGGAAATTGCATTTATTCAAAAAGTGCATCATAAAGTTTGGCCATCCGTGACTGCAGAGAATCACAAGAACTGCTTGTTTAGTGGGTGCCTTGCCAGACACTTCATCTAACCAGGAATGGATTAGAAAGGAGACAGATGAGATACAATGTAGCATCCTATCACTTCTATTAGAAGTGAAGAACTTCCCACAAATCTGGCAGGGAGGGGTCAGTGGAAAAGCTAATCAAAAACACTTCCTCATGAGAAATGAATGAGACTCAGTCTCCTAAGTTACTTAGACAAGTTAATAAATTGCATTTGTACTGTCTTCTTTCATTTTCAACCCCATTTTAATTCCATGCTACAAAAATCAGAATGCACTGTGAACATTTTGGTTTAAAGATTTACCAAAAGAATCTTTTGTTTCCAAATCTGTTCAGCAGATATGGGAAAAAAAGATGTTCTACTGTGAATGATAATGGGTTTTTTAATACTTTGCCAAAATTCTCCTGAACAGCTTCTTTTGTTTGTTTCTCCCTGACTCATTCTTTTCCATGCACATTGAGGCCTGAACCTATCCAGCAAAGAGTGCTATATTTAAAGGACAAAATTAGGATAAGGATAGAAGAAGTGGGTGATAAAAATGTCTTCATAATGAAAGCCTTTCAAGATGACTGACAATCAACTCTTTCCTCTAACAGGCAGTCAGGTGAAAAGAAGCACTGATGACCACCTTTATTTCATGGTAAGGATCCCTGACGCATTTCTTAGACATTCCTACTACCTGTCCAGATTCTCTCCCATTTTGCCCTGTGCTTTTTTTGATCTAAAACATTCATTGTGATTGACCAATGAGTGTCAGGCAAACACACAAGAAGCTCTTAAAGCAGTTTTTTCGTTCTGTGTTTCAGAGTGAGTCATCCTGGTCCTGGAAGAGGTAGTGTTATCAAAGCAATCACAACATACAATTATGCATGGAGGGGAGAAAAAGCAGAAAAAGGGAAGAAAACATTCTCTTTTTCTTGTTAACTGCTGCACTTTAAGCACAACCATGCCAAAAAAGCAGTCATCACGCATTGTTTGACTGAAAATCAGCGGCATCTGTGGATTACAAGCTAGTAATTAATGTCCAAAACTCATGGTATGTCAGTGACTTAATGGTGTAGCTTACATGTGGCACAAACACATGTTTCATATACCTGGAGTCAGCAGCTTTGCTCTTGGAAATTTTGGTTGAATGGCATTTTATCATCTTTGACAACCAAGAAAATTAATTTTTAAGCAATCATTGTGTTACTGAGCAGCCTTGGTTCTCCCAGCCATTCATCTTGGATTCCATTAAAATCAAACCCAGAGCTGAATCATAAAAGATCATATAATCTATTACTATTGCTGTGAATACTCACTCATCCAAAACTTTTTTAGCTCCAAGCCGATCCATCAGATTTGAGAACTGGAATTCTTCATCCTCATCTTCCCTCATGGTCTCTTCGCATTTAAGCGGGCAGGCTGATTCACCTCCTGATTGCTGCACCATCTCATTATTCAAAGCAATCTGCCCCAAAAGAAACTGGCCTAAGAATTAGAAATTACACATTAGCATTTTCAGAACTTACTATAAGAAGCAACATCATTGAAGAGCAACATACTGAAGATCAAATTTTACAGTAAATATCATTTGTGAGGGTAACATCTGCACTTCTTTACAAGAAAAGGGTGTATAATGAAGCAGCAAAAGGATGAGGCATGGCAAGAGGATCCCTGAGTTCTATGCCTGACTTTGTCCCCAGTTTCATGTCTAATCTTCAGTAAATCACTCACCTCAAAATTCACAAACATACTGAAAAAATTCAGACCTACATAAAGAAAAGACATAAATTGCAGCAACAAGCACATTATAAATGTTGTGGCCTTATTTCTTGATATTCTTAAATAGAAGTAAGGAATCTAAAATAACCACAGCATTGCTACTCATAAAATGTATCTCCTATTTTAACATTCTTTTAAGTGCATGACCAAAGGCACACCTCAAATTCCTGTACAAACTGCATATAGAAAGCTACATTTTATTAATGCTTATTTCCCTCCATTTGACTCACATGCATTTTAATTCTTCTAAACTTGACCCCTACAGCAGTTTCTTCCACCTATTTGAGATATTTCTATTAATAACAGAAAGATTGGATCATGGAGACTTGGTCATGGGACAGCTCCCATGACTGGAGTGTTGCAATGGAGGGATACAGGCTCTTTAGGAAGGACAGGAAGGGAAGACAAGGAGGGGGAGTTGCCTTTCATGTGAGAGAGCAGCTGGAATGCATGGAGCTCTATGTGGGGATAGTAGAGGAGCTGATGGAGAGCTTATGGGTTACAATTAAAAAGAGGACAGGCAAAGAGGACAGTATAGCAGGTGTCTTCTATAAGCCACCCAACCAGGAAGAACAAGTGGATAAGGCCTTCTACAGACACATAGGAACAGCCTCGCGTTCGCAGGCCCTGGTCCTCATGGGGGACTTAAACCACCCTGATATGTTGGAGGGACAATGCAGCAGGACATAAGCAAACCAGGAGGTTCCTGGAGTGCACTGATGATAACTTCCTCAAAGTGATACGAGGAGCCAATGAGAAGTGCTCTGCTGGACCTCATACCCAGCAACAAGGAGGGTCTCGGCAATGTGAAAATCAAAAGAAAGCCTTCTCTGCAGTGACCATGAGATGGTGGAGTTCAAGATCTGGAGGACAGGGAGCAAGCTCATTACCCTGGACTTCAGGAGAGCAGACTTTGGCCTCTTCAAATATCTGCTTGGAACAGTCCCTTGGGATAAGGCCCTAGAAGGAAGAGTGGCCCAAAAAGCTGGTTAATATTCAAGGATCACCTCCTCCAAGCTCAAGAGAGCTCCATCCCCATGAATAAGAAGCCAGACAAAAATGCCAGGAGGACTGCATAGATGAACAAGGAGCTCCTGGCCAAACTCAAACACAAAAAGAAAGCACACAGAGGGTAGAAGCAAGGATGGGTATTCTGTATTCCTGGGAGGAATACAGCAACACTGGGCATGCAGGGATAAAGTTAGGAAAGCTAAAGACCAAAAGGCCAAATGGAATTGCATCTGGACAGGTATGTAAAAAAAAGTACAGAGGAGACAAAAGGAAGACTAGGGACATCAACGAGATGAGGGACTTGGTTACACGGGACATGGAAAAGGTGGAAGTACTGAATGCTGCCTTTGCCTCAGTCTTTACTAGCAAGACTGGCCTTTAGGAATCCCAGGTCCCAGAGATCAGAGAGAAAGGTTGGAGCAAGGAAGATTACACTTGGTGGAAGAGAGTCAATCGGGTCAGGGAATACTTAAGAAAACTGGACATACATAAGTCTGTGGGCCCTGATGAGATGCACCCAGGAGTGTTGAGGGAGCTGGCAGATGTCACTGTGAGGCCACTCTTGATAATCTTAGATCAGTCATAGTGACTGGGAGAATTGCCAGAAGACCAGAGAAAAACAAATGTCACCCCAGGCTTCAGGAAGGGCAAGATAGAGGACCCAGGGAACCACATGCTAGTCAGCCTAACCTTCCCTGGGAAGGTGATGGAGCGCCTAATCATGGAAACCGTTTCCAGACACATTAAGGATGAGAAAATCAGCATAAGTAATCAGCATGGATCCACGCTTGACCAACTCAATACACTTCTATGATGAAGTGACTGGCCTGGTAGATGAGGGGAGAGCATTGGGTATTGTCTACCTGGACTTTACTAAGGCCTCCAACACGATCCTTTCAGAGAAGCTGTTGATGTACAGGCTGGATGAGCATTCACTGAGGTGGATTGTAAAGTGGCTGAATGGCCAAGCCTAGAGGATGGTGATCAGTGGTGCAAAGTCTAGTTGGAGGCCAGCGACTAGCAGGTACCCCAGGGATCAACACTGGGTCCAGTCTGGTTTAACACCTTCATTAATGACCTTGATGATGGGGCAGAGTGCACCCTCAGTAAGTTTGCAGACAACACCAAACTGTGAGGAGTGGCTGATATACCAGAGGGTTGTGCAGCCATCTAGAGGGACCTTGACAGCCTGGAGAAATGGGCTGGCAGGAACCTCATGAAGTTCAACAAGGGGAAGTGCAAAGTCCTACACCTGGGGAGGAACAACCCTGTACACCAAACATACGCTGGGGGTCACCCAGCTGGAAAGCAGTGTGGCAGAAAAGGACCTGGGAATCCTGGTGGACACCAAGCTGAACAGGACTCAGCAAAGTGCCCTTACTGCAAAGGCGGCTAATGGTATCCTCGGCTGCATTAGGCAGAATATTGCCAGCAGGTCAAGGAAAGCCTCCTTTCCTCAGCACTGGGGAGGACACACCTGGAGTTCTGTGTCCAATTCTTGGCTCCTCAGTACAAGAGAGACATGGACATACTGGAGAGAGTCCAACAAAGGGCCATGAAGATGATTAAGGGACTGGAGCACCTCTCACATAAGGAAAGGCTGAGAGGGCTGGGAATGTTTAGCCTAGAGAAGAGAAGGCTCAGGGATATAATCAATGTATACAAATATGTGAAGGGAGAGTACAAAGGAGACAGAGCCAGGCTTTTTTCAGTGGTGCCCAGTGACAGGACAAGAGGCAATGGGCACAAACTGAAACACAGGAGGTTCAATCTGAATATGAGGGTAACCAAGCACTGGCACAGGTTGCCCAGGGAGGTTGTGGAGTCTCCCTCCACAGAGGAAGATATTCAAAAGCCACCTGGATGTAGCCCTGGGCAACTAGCTGAGGTGGCCCTCCTTGAACAGTGGGGTTGGACCAGATAACCTCCAGAGGCCCCTTCAAACCTGAACCATTCTGTGATTCAGTGATTGAGATATTCCTGGCTATTGACACCACATAATAGTCATGGGAGACTTTAATGAAGGTCATGAGACTTTCTCAACAATTTTTCACTAGCCAACAACATGATGTTACCTTGTATTTGCTCTATTAAGTGTTGAGAACACTATAGAAGAATTGATTATAAGAAATAACCATTGATTGACAAATGAGTTGATTGTTTAAATTAAACGTGAAGCTAAACAAGAATAGATATTACTGGTGTCAACCGGTCTGAAGGGTTCAAGTAAATTAACAAACAGGTGAAGCTTGAAACTATCTTAGAATTGGAGATTAGAAGGGTATATAGATAGAAAAGAGAGCCAAAAATACTGAGACCTGCAAAGAATACTAAAACAAACAGCTACAGGCTTTTTAGCTACATCCATAAAAAGAAAGGAAGAAACAAGTACAGTAGTTGTACGGTGAGGATGCAGAAGTGAAATTGCCACATGAAAAATCAATGCACTTGTGTTCAGTTGGGGAAGACGGGTCAAATTCCATCAAATTCTAAATGTGCCAGCTATTTTATTTGAACATCTGCAGGTCAGAATTTTTAAGGAATCTAGGCAAAAAGATTTTGTGATTTTCTGCAGAGGATCTTTGGTTATAGTCTAAATTCTAGTACAGAAGTTACCATAGACCCAAGGAAACAGAAATACTGGTGTGGTTTTGTGGTTTTATGTTTTTATCAACTCTATCTTGCATCTTTTCTCATAGCACCCAGCAGAGCATGTTAACAGAGACAACAGAATATGTTGCAAAGAGAGATTACAGTAAATTTCCTATTTGCCACCATTTAGAAATATGCATGGGATTCTCCCATACTAATTGGTGCAGTACAAGTCTTATCCAGACACCACTCTGCTTTCTGCATTCTCTACTTTTCAAAGCAGCCTTTATCTAGCACAGCTTCTGCTCCTACTAGGAACGCGAACATCATCACCTAGCCAAATGTATGAATACTTAACCTGGATTCCTAGAAAATACCTGTCAGTCTTGTGTAGTAGGTTAAAATGTAGCATGCTTTACACTGTCTATCCTTATGTTTTATGTGAATCCTATGCATAGGTGCTGTCGAAGGCAGTGCCTTGTCTGTGGCAGTCTGTGTAGCCTGCTGCGTCCACGTCCTTTGTGTGCCTGTGTGCGTGCGTGTGTGGGTGTCTCTGGGATACATGATTAACTTCACTACCAGTTGAACCTGCAAACAGGAAAGCAGCTGCCACATCCATCTGGGTCTCTGGACTGCGCCCCAGCAGCTGGGGCACGAGGAATCCCCAGGCTCTGGAGCTGCTGGAGATGGCAGCCACTTACAGCCTCCTTTAACACAAAATTTTGGTTTTGCGGGGACTACTTATGATAATAATCTTCATTTAACTAAGAAATATGTATAATTTACTTACAAAAAAGTAAAGCAGTAATACATTATTTCATTTTTAAATAATGGCAATTTGCAGATTAAAGCATACTCTTTGTTAAGATGCTTGACCTAGCTCTAAAATGGGAGAGGTGGGGGATAAGGGAATTAAAATTTCAGATGATTGATGATTTGCAAACAAAAATGGAAGAGCTTCCTAAAAAATGGAAGAGTTTTCCAGAGAAAATGCTTAAACCTAATGCTTATAGATACTTAAAACTTAAGTACAAAATTGATTATGTATAAACAACCAAACACAGTCACACAGTCTCACTAGATTGTAATCTTATCTGGAACCTCACAGTTGGGGAGAAAACAACCCTTTCACAAAGAGAGAACAAACAGTAAAAGTACTGCTGCAAAGCAAGCAGTTGCAAAGAGCTTATCAGCTGCCATCATGTACTAAGAATAATTGCCTCAACCTGTTTTGTTTTGAAATAAAGTAACATCACTTGAAGAATGAATTTTTTGTAGAAAGCATTCCCACAGCTGTAAGGACAGTGGTATTAACACATTAACATTATGTCTAAGTTCAATGTAAGACAATCTTAATTATCTCTCAGGTATTATGACCTGATATGAAATAACATACAAGATTTTTTTCCCACAAGGGAAGTTTTCCATAAATTGTTTGCAGATCTACTCCATGGCTTAAACCACATGTAATTCAGACCATTACGTCGTATGTCTTATATTGTGCTATGGCTTGCCATCTTACACAGGAGAGAAAGACTCTGGAGCCCTTTATCTATTTATAGGCATAATTTGATAACTTCTTTATTTGTTACATATATCTTCTTTATCTATCTATATCTACATATATCTTATCTATATCTACATATATCTTATCTTTATCTAGCTCCCTGTGTGCATCGTTAAGTGGACTGTTAAGATAAAATGCTTCTTTACTGATGTGGAGAGTATAGAATATGAATAAAGCTCTATAAAGGATACATGCTTTCCAAACTCACTGAATCCTGTGGTGAACTCCTTTGGGGTAAGTGAGCCATTGCCATCAGCATCCAATGTAACAAAAACTTTTTCAAGCTCTTCCAGGCTAAGAGGTAACTCAGGATGCAGTCTCTGGAACAACAAAACATGCAGCAACTTTACCCAGTACTACAGGGTGAGAGGAAGACTAGATTCATCAATAATATAGAAAGTCCTTTTGTTTCCCTGGATGAAAATTGAAATACATCACAGAGTAAAACAACATCAACTGAGGAGACTTGCTTTTATTACTTCATTATTTGCCTTTATGAATCCTTTATGCCAAAGCAGTGAGAACAATCTCCTTGTGAGAGGATTCCAGATTCCAATCACACAGGAAAGAGGTGGAATTTGAGGTGGAGTCTCAGCATCCTGGTGAAATGCCTTGATTATCTTGGTGAAATGCCTTGATCATCATGCAGCTGGAAAAATTTGCCAGCAGAACTGTACACCTAGTTCCTTCCATGTCATGAGGTCAAGCAAGAGACTCTCTAAACAAGAACATTATAGAGGATATACTGTCCTAATTAAAGCTGCTTTAAAATGTGTAAATGAACAAATAAATAAAACAAAGCTAAGAAAGCTGCTCCTGTAACGAGTTAAATTTAATTCATGACTCTCTACTTCTGAAATGCAGCACGCTCACACCAAAAAAGACAAAACTTCATGAAACCAGCTCCACTAAATCACTTATTTCTTCACAAGAATATAAAGATAGGCATAAAAGAAAAAAAAAATTTTAATCTGGCCCTAATGATTTTACTGTAATTCTTTTAACAGTACAGACAGATTCCCAGAAATAGGAGGAAACTGGAGTGGCAAACAACTACAATAGCAAGGATTTCCACTGGGAGACAGCACGAGGAAGAGTAAAACCTTTCCTCAGCTTGGGAAGCAATATAAATATACACTGCTGAAGTCTTCTGCTTTATTTGTTAATATTTTAATCCCTTCCCTGAACTCCTACTGTATATACAACATATTAAAATTGCAAGCTAATAGGTTGATAAAGTTCATCAGAACAAAAGTGCTAATCTGTTCCCCTGTGGGCAAGGGATTTAGGGGCAAAGAAAGTCTTTCCTGCAATCCAAGAACATTATTAATCGCTATTCAATATACCAGGCCATACAGCCACGGTACGAATTGCCTGAGTGCATTAACCAGGACTTCCCTGGCTGCAACAAAAGGTTTAGGGTATACACTATAAACCTGTGTGAGTCGAAGGGAAGAGCAGTAAAAGGAATTCTAAGGTGATCTTGAGAAGGGAAAGCAACAGAGCTTCTAAAGCACAGAACTATCTGGAATGGTCCCGAAGAAATTTCTGAGCAGGATTAATTGTGCATTGCTGCCTGCTTCCAGAACACTAAGAAAACTTGATGTACAGTCTAAATACACTACTTCATCAGTGATACACCTGACTTATTATCAGTTTCTCACTTAAACACACACATCTTCCCAAAGCCTTAGATTTTAATATCTTAGATCTCAAGGGAAACTTTTTGCAATTAGCTTCTCTTGTAAAATTCTTACAGCCTACACAGCACTGATGAGGGAGGAGGTACTTCAGACAAATTCCTCTTTTACTCTTAGAAAAACAGAAACTGTGCTCTTACTGCCATATCTTTGGGACCTGCCGAAGGAGTGCTTCGTGAGAGCTGGCTGTCCTCTTCTGGGGATGTCATAAACGCAGATCAACGTGCTATTCCAGTACAACTGCTTGTGGGTCTTGCTGCAAACCTGACTTCATGCTTCTCCAACTACAACTGGAGTGCCTTATTGCTGGGTTCAAATTCTGAACCAAATTATACTAATTTTTGCAGTAGAAACCACCACAATTACTTGCATTTTCTTGAAAAAAAAATTAAAATAGGAAATTTTGAAGAATGTATCAACATTTTGCTCCACTAAATTCCCTAAGGATAATCTACTTACTCTGATGAACTGGGGCCATACTTACCATTGTTACTAAGATTAAGTCAATGTTGATACTAAGATCAAGTCAAGATTTCCCAACCTTTTGGTTTTATTCTTCAAAAAAAAACTGTAAGCACTTTTTTTTTGTTAGAAAAATAAAATGTTATCACTGGTCTCATAGGTATGTTTTTGTTTATTTGCTCATTTTGGGCTCACTGTAAAAATATATAGATCCTTTCAACATGAGGTTCTTAAAAATTACAAAAAAAAAAAAAAAGAAATAGAAGATATCCAAAGACACCACTGGAGCTTAAAGAGAAATTATTTGCATTGCCACCCAAAGTACTCTGTGTTTTCATGAAGTTTATGCTTACTTATCTGAAAATACCAAGCTTTTACTCTGCTAAATAAAAAGACAGAGGTCAAATAGCTGACAGCAAGATCTGAACCCAATTCTGCTGTACACATTAAAGCAAAACATTTTGCAACACTAATTCTCATTATTCATTATAACCTCAAGGCCCAAAGTGCAAAGTCGTCCAAGTTTCAGGTAGAATTTGCAGATTCAGAAAACCTCTTGTTTATTTGAAAGTTGAGCACATTTGATGTTTTGAAATGGAATGAAAAATTCCAAACAACCAATATTAAGATAATCTCAAAATAAACAGCATGATATGATCAGGGAGGAGTACATTTTTAATATAGTAACTGTATTTTAGACACATCAGAAAACTTTGTAAGATCTGTTCCACTGAAGTTAATTGGATTTTAGACACTCAGCACTTTTTAGATATTCAGCACTCTCTGTTGAAAATCATGCCTCATATCACATAACTGACTATAGATTAAAAAGCCTAATGTTACCATAGAATTTTAGAATCGGTTAGGCTGGAAAAGATCTTTAAGATCATCAAGTCCATCTTCTATTTGAAGCAATGCTAGGAAGTAGTACTGAACTAAAAAGCTAACAAACAACAGGATGCAAAAGTGATCAACACCTGGTACCTTTTGAGGAAAAAACTTTTTTACTTTATTGATTTATGTCTTTGCTATAGGGAGTGAACATCATGAAAAGTGCAATCAAAATCAACTATATTGATTTCAAACTCACATTTGCAATACAGGGATTCTAGTTAACTAGTCATTCTAATCAAGCATAATGAATAACTGTAGCAGTATATGTCTAATGTGCAGTTGTTCAGTATAAAACATCATTATTTTGTATAGCAATAAAATAATAGGTACCAAACCCATTAGAAAACATTGTAGATTACTGTCACTGGTGTCCAAATAAACCTCTGTTAAAACACTACTCAATTACAAGGGAGATGGGGCAATGAGAAAGTTATCACTAGCTTCAAAGAATCTAGGTTTCTGAATTGCTGGGATTAATGTAAAAGACCTTCATTTATAATTTTTATTCACTGTCACTAAATTACTGTAAAAATCAAATGGTGGAGATGAGTCTCACCCCAGTTTTTTGTCAAAGGAACTACATTGATTTCAGCTGAATTACTTTGTATTTAATAAATTGTTGAGTGGAATAGGGATAATCCAGTATATTCAAAAGGACTGCATTTGTAATTTTATCTTTAATTGGACAGCAAGAAATAAAATCAAATATAAAGAAACACCTTCTCAAGTGTTCTGAGCACCCTTAATTTCTGTATTGAAATGAACCAGACACATACATGCTGAAGTTGTCAGATATAGTAAACAAATACGGTGAAATAGAAGACATGTACAACTAAATCTGTTCTTTGCAACCCCTTTTCTACTGCATCTTTTACAACATCTGTTTTAAAACCTGAAGTATAAATTTATCAGCGTAAAAGCATAGCATATAAGGATAAAACTTAGAATCAAACAAAAAAATGTTTTTATGTTCCTTGCAAAACCAGATATTAAAACTTTATATACCCATACATACTTATATATATATGGGATTCCACTAGGTGAAAATATATGCCATTCAGTTTTTGGAAAGACAGTAAAATTATAATCCATTAAATTCTCTATGGGTCTGGATTTACCAAAATTACCACTAACAATATATTTGTTTGCATTCAGTTACCACTAACAACAGACATTTCTCTGTTTGCATTCAGTTACTTCAATGTGATAATGTATATTAGAATCAAGTCCAAGATCATCAAGTCCAACTGTTAACCTAACACTGCCATACCACCAATAAACCCTGTCCTTAAGCAACACATCTACCCGTCTTTTAAATGTCTCCAGGGATGGGGGCCCAACCACTTCCCTGGGCAGCCCATTCCAATGCTTAACAATGCTTTCGGTGAAAAAATTTTCTTAATGTATAATCCAAACCTGCCCTGGCACAATTTGAGGCCATTTCTTCTGCTTGGAGCAGAAATTTCCCCCTCACAAAGTGCTCTGCCTAAAGCTAGCTAGATTTCTGTTTGGTTTTTTTTTTTCCCCAAGCTTCCTGTAGAAAACGTAGATCATCATTATCATCCTTGCTTTTAGTAATGGAAAACTACACAATAAGTGAGGAAATTACCACTGAAAACTTACGGAAACTTGGAGATCTTAGAATCAAAGAATCATTAAGGTTGGAAAAGACCTCCAAGATCATCAAGTCCAACCATCAGTCCAACACCACCATGCCTACTAAACCATGTCCCAAAGTGCCACATCTACACATTTTTTAAATACCTCCAGGGATGGGGACTCGACCACTTCCCTGGGCAGCCTGTTCCAATGCTTAACAACCGTTTCTGTGAAAAAAATTTTCCTAATATCTCATCTAAACCTGCCCTGGCACAACTTGAGGCCATTTCCTCTCATCCTATCACCTGTTACCAGGGAGAAGAGACTGACCCCCACCTCATTACACCCTCCTTTCACTTAGTTGTAGAGGGCGATAAGGTCTCCCCTCAGCCTGCTTTCCTCCAGACTAAACAACCCCACGTCCCTCAGCTGCTCCTCATCAGACCTGTGCTCCAGACCCCTCACCAGCTTCGTTGCCCTTCTCTGGACATGCTCCAGCACCTCCATGTCCTTCTTGTAGTGAGGGGCCCAAAACTGAACACAGTATTCAAGGTGTGGCCTCACCAGTGTGGAATACAGGGGCACGATCACTTCCCTACTGCTGGCCACACTATTCCTGATACAAGCCATTGGCCTTCTTGGCCACCTGGGCACACCGCTGGCTCAGATTCAGCCGGTTGTTGACCAGTACCCCCAAATCCCTCTCTGCCAGGCAGCTTTCCAGCCACTCGTCCCCAAGCCTGTAGAGTTGCATGGGCTTGTTGTGACCAAGTTCACAGAATTAGCACAGGTCATCATAAAACTCAGCAACACAAAATTGCACAGAGAGCTCTTGAGAGCTATTAATCTGAGTAATTTACTATGAGGTTTTTACTTTTCAAAAATAGGTAGTTACCATAGGTAGTTAAAAGTGTTTTGCTTCCATTTTCCTATATGCTTTTTGTAATCAACATTTTCAGCAAACTTGATTTTGGCCCTTCAAACAACTTAAGAAGAATTTGGTAAGATTATTGTGAACACTGAATAATGCTAAAATACTGTTCCTCTATACTTCCTACATAAATATGTGATCCAGCTGAGAGCTCACCATTGTCGGCAGGTGAAACAAAGTGAAAGACTTCGTCTACACAATTTTGCTGAGAAAACAGAATGATAAAATTGGTGAACTGGATGCATTCATGATGCTGTGGCAAATTGCAAAGTAATGAATTTACTGGAGTTTCAACTTTTCAACAAGAATGGAATTAAATTCCTGGGGCATTTTTTTAAACTTCACTTTGATTTTCCACTTTTTTGTTGCTTTGTGGAAACAAATGCAAGCATTATGCAAACTTCAAAGAGATTATTTTAAATCCTACATATCTCTTTAAAGTTATCAGGAGGACGTTACAATTTTTAACTCTAAATTAATCAGTCTCAACTTATTAAGGGCATTAGGAGCTTCTCTCATTGTGCATTTCACATAGCCAATTTTTACCTGCATGTCTTGATGAGTGATGAAGCCTTTGCCTTCCAGATCACAAATCTGAAAGAACTCATGTACTTTTCCCAACACAGTTAGTCCTGGGTCTTGTTCTTCAGTCCTGCTCCTCTCTGCATCTCCTGGTGGTACAGGACTGGCACAGGCTCCTCGTATTCTGTCCATTGTCACAATCTCAGCATAGGAATGCTGCTATCCAATTTACTCACGAATTCTGATTTGAAACCTGTGCCTGGAAGGTAAGGAAAAGAGCAAATCAGAATCTCTTAATGATGCATTCCACAGTCTCTTAGCAATCATCTCTTTAATTAGTCACTAAAGCTTAGAAGAAGAAAAAGCTTTTTGAAAATGCCTACCCTATTTCTGAAAAGGAATCTCAAAGCAAAATCAGCCAGTTTTACATGAAATATAGACAATCAACTTGAACAAGAAAACACAAGAAATACGGGTAAATGAAAAAATAATTTAAAGTCACTACCAGTATTCAACTGGTATCCTTTTGACTCTGATCATCTTAATACCACATATCACAATTTGCATCCAGTGCTTTCAAGTACAGTTCATATGATAGATGACTGAAAGAACCTGGTGGATCATAGTGTTTAAATCAGTTAAGTAGAATTAAGAGAATGATAACAGATTATGGAATTCTGTAACATTTCCTTAGATTCATCCTTATTACTTAGAGCTTTGACTTTCACCTGTGAAGGAGAACTAATTGCTAGTGAACGTGGTGGGAAGACTTCGTAAGTTAATCACATTCTAAAGAGCTTCTGTATTTGTATTATACCCCCTGCATGAAAATATTTGTATATATTCATGTTTGGCTCTAATTTCATCTAAATTCAACCTAGGAGGTCAGATGTAAATAGTTTTCCCTCGCCAAACTTGTACAATTTTACAACACACATTATCAATACAAAAGGAGCAGGCTTTCCCAAAAAGCCTATGGGCTCAAAGGCACTATTGACTAATCATGGGTTGTCATGCCTCAACTGATGTTTGTAAGACTCCCTGTGTGATCTTAACTCATTATCATGTGGGTAAACTAAGCAAAGAAACAGATTATTCCACTGAGGTACTGTGTGTATTTGTGACAGGCTAAGAACATGTGGCTCAGATGACATGCAACAACTTGACTTTCAATCTGGAATATGTATTTCTGTTTTTCTAAATAAATCTACCTCACATATCCACAAATTTGTCAGATAATTTTTAAGGGACAGAAGTATTTTAAGTGGCATTTGACTATTACAAAGGCACATAGCCTGATTCTGATCCAGTATGACTGGCACTATCTGAAACAATTCCAACCAGAGAACTCTCATACCAGTGAGAATTATTTGAATCTGAAATGTATGTTGTCTTCCAAGTACAAGCCTTGGCATTGCAGGAATGTGAAGGTAGAATCTGAGGAAACAAAAACTTTAGCCTGTCTACTCAGCTTCTTAAGGAGAAAAGGCTCTGGTCACAGAGACAGAGTAGCTCAGCCAGAGTATGCTTTATTCTATGTTTAAGTTCAAATCCACCAGTGCTTCACACCTCTTAAAAAACAGCATCTTCCAAGAACTTCTTAGATATACAGTTTGTCATACTTGCAGCAGTTTTCCATAACAAAGTGATTTCTCCGATAGCTATGGGCCAGGCTGCTGGACTTCCCATGTTGCATGTAAGCATAAAAGCACTGTAAACAGGCCACTGACTTCAAACCAAACTAGGACTTTGATGAGCAAAACACCCACCCCCTTTGAAACCACATGGCAGAAATCTGCAAATATAGGTAAATTTTCCTCTGTTTCCCTCACTTTCTTTTGCAATTCCAATCGTCCCAGGACCGTTATTCAAATACACTCCAAAGCTGAAATAATTTTGGCTTAACAACCAAAGAACTCAGCTGTCAAAATCCCTCATAAAACAGAGTTGCAAGCAGCAGAAAAACAAACATCCTGAGAGAAGGCAAAGGATGGCTACTCCCAATACCATACTGCTTTAGGAAACTCCTTCTCAGGATGGGTCTGACTTCAGTTTGAACCTACAGCAGTCAGGGGTGCTTTGTGAACCCTGAGACCAGCTACCCGAGGGGAGCTGTTGCCCCTCGGCCCGCACACACACCAGGTACCACTCATTGCCGCAGTGGGTGAGCCCTGCTCCACACCCCAAAAGGCACTGAAGCCTGCCAGAGCGCCCATGCCAGCAGCCAAGCAGGCCCTGGAAAATTAACAAGGCTAGGAAATGCTGTCACAGAAAATGTAGGTCAGACATAACAAGGGGCATTTGGCTATTACAGCTGCCTGAACAGCTGTACTCAAATCTTCTCTTACGAGGGAAATTTCTAGCTCAGAAAGTCTGACCAACTGTCAGTAGCTGGGAAGATACACAATGGAAGAGATCACTCCATAACTTCCCTGTTTCTTAATCCCTTTCCTGATATTTCCAATATCGTACCATCTCAAAAACAGTAGACGAGCTAGATGAATCTTTGCTCCATCCACAAGTGGATCAGATGGAAAGCCACATTCAGACTACAGTGGTACAATAGTCTGGATGAGATTCTCCTTTCATACTGCTTTTACACACCTAAACTTCATTCACTTCAGTACAGCTTATTCTTGACTGACACCAGCATATGAGGTAATCAAAATCAGGCCATCAGTTTTGATTTTGCAGTGACACTAACTTAAAAACAGTTTAAAAATACCAAGAACCAGTGGGACAAGTGCAGCCTAAAGATGGTCTTGACAAGATCTGACCCAGACTCCAAGTGTATTGGATGCAATACTTTTTTTTCTCTTTTTCACTTCTCAACAATTCATCAGAAGGCCACAACTGCAGGAAAAGGTCAAACTAATCATGATGGTAAGTGTTGCTAGTGCCTCTGGTTTCTGCACAGTTCATTAGACTTCCTTCAGAGAAAGAAAACAGAAAAACTGTGCAAGTAACAGATAGTCAATTGCATGTGAAAAAATAGAAATATGAAAACAGATCAAAAATGGTGGAACAAAAAGGCACTATATATAGTTTGATAAAGTTGTTTACATTTAGCAAACAGTACAGATACAATTCAGAAAACGTCACCATGCTTTCTAAATACTCCCATTCCACAAAATGAAATTATGTGCATCACAGGAGCCTCACCTTCTTACAAGTTGCTCCACCTTTCATACACATCATAAAAATTAGCTACACAGCAAGCATCTTGAATACAGCAGAAAATTAAATTAGAGCATACACTAAAATTCTTAATCCTTATAGCAGCTTCCAAAGCTGGTACAGTTCATCTTAACTCCTAGAGCATCCTGATACTTTGCAACTGCTGGTAGTAACATGAAAGATTAAAACTGCAATTTGCTCCATGTTACTGGATCAGCAATGTAATTACTCCAAGGCCAGTTTTAAATAACATATTCCATTCACTCATCCACCTCCTTTAGAAATCAAATGGCTCGCAAATTCAAAACACTATTCTATTCTATTAAGACCTTTGATTTACATTCTTCTAGCTGCAATCAAACACTTCACTACAAAAAACAGGTCATATCATGAGCCGATGCAAACAAGCATAGCTCCAAATAATACTAAACAAGGATGTGGGCTTTATGAGGTTTTTACAGATGATTAATCATGAGGTATTTTTGGACTGGTCTGCAAAAGGCAGATCACTGTTAATATTTCAAATGACATTTCATCATGATTTTCCAGTCAGGTGTACTGTAAATCACCAAACTCTAGAGGTACAGGGCACTGCTGATCCACAGATTTCCTAAGTCATGACTTGTCACAACCCCATTCTCCTTAATTGTGATAGATAAAAACTTACAGAGCTGTTTTACCTGCATTCATGTCTCCGAGTTTCTGGGTTTCAGTAAAATATTTTTTTAGCATCTGTCTATAGGTACAAACTTTCTGCAGCACACTTCAAAACAAGAATCATCAGAAAAATGTAGTAAGCTTACTGAATACTGAGGTCACCATGAATTTATACAAAATACTCTTATGAGAGTTAACTTTTGTTTTACAAACACTGGAAAATTAGATTGCCTACTTTTGCTACAACCAAATTGTCATTGTTAAATTAACGTCCAGCTGTTCTGTAGTGACACATGAACAGGGACCTCTTCAGAACTAACTTGGCGTCAGAGTTAGTTATCTTCCAGCATTATGCTGAAAAGCTTTTAAAGCTGCTAAAATGTACCAGCACAATTATTTTAAGTTGGCACAAGCCTGCTGAAAGAAGTAATTTTATTCCCCATTACTGTCCCCTGCCCTTATACAAGTGTTCACCCAGTTAGACAGTGAACCCTGCAGTTTAATCTGGAAAGTTATAGTTTATTTAGCTCAATTAAGGCCAAGTGGCCCATCAAGGAAATGCATCAAAGAAGAATCAAGAATCAAAAAAAGCAGGACCTATAGAGAATGACAGAAGAATGGGACTGCTAAGACCAAAGAAAGCACAACCATCCTCAAGTACATAGAAGTTTGCTACATACAGAATTGGAAAAAAATACTCCCTATGCACATAACGCACTACACAAGAAGTAACACTCTTGTGTTGTAACATGGCAGACAAGCTAGACAGGAAAAACAATCCAATGAATAACAAAGTAGAGCGCTGAACCACTGAGTGCAAAGGTAATGCACCACCATCATGGAAGCACAGACCAAACACAAATCTGCAAATAATGACATAGATGATGATTCCTTGAGAAAGATGAATAGATCAGTGGACCTTGATGTTACTTTTAGCCATTTTTTAAAGATTTTATAACCATACAAGGTAAAAATTCAGGTCCCACACTTAAAAAAACGAACAAAGTTGTGCGCCCAATAAAAAATCCATATTTTTTTCCTCTACTGTGACTAAGACAAGTACTTTTTAAGCACTCATGGAAGTATTACAAAGCCTGACCTAACCATATGAACACCTGGGCTGAACTAGATGAAAAATGGGACTTTCATTCCTCCAATTTTGAATTTTCAACATGCAAGTCTAGTGCTTCTGCTTCAGAAAGGCATTGAAATATGTCATAAGAGCCTCTTTTCTTCCACACAGCCTGAATTCACTGGCTAGGTAACTTCTCTCATGATGCACACAATCTCTCATGATTTTTCATCTTAGGAGACAGTGCACCATGGGGTGGGTGTGGGGAGTTTAACTGTGGAGGGAGAGATCTGAGGCAGGTTGGAGTTCCTATGAGGGACCACAACAGGATAGTCTGAAAGAAGTGTGT